TTACGGGAGTAGAAACCCTCATCTTTCTCCCGCGGAGCGGCTGGTAGTTTCGAACCACTGACCTTAAGGTTTTCAGCCCGACTCGTAACCACTACGCTACCAGCAATTCCTCTAATGTATTAATATGCCTAATAAAAAACTGGAACTTTTAAGGGGTCTCAGATTTAACTCATATTTGCCAAATTGGAGTGAGGGAACACAAGGATTTATCAAAAGGTTTGCTATAAAATCACAGAAACCTTTTTAAAACAAAAGTATCAAAATGTAAAGCTACTGCTTCTCAGCATATCAGCCATCTAGATCGATAAACTTCTGAAGGTGGTGTTTCCATTTCTCTAAACTTTTCCCCAAAGAATTCTGTGCTCTTCTACTTACACCACACCAAAAGGGCAGTTTTGGCATCCTGAAGGGACTCAAACTGTTTCCTTTTCAATATATATTTTTTTTACTTTTGAAAACAAAAAGATGTCTGCAGGAACAATATCAGGGCTTTAAGATGGAGTAAAGTTTCTCAACAAAATTCTCATAGGACAGCCCTTGCTACCCTTGAACTTTGAGCATTCCTTGTCGTGATGGGAAAAACTTCCTTGATGCAATTTTCCTGGCTTTTCCCTCACCAATGCAGCTTTCAACTTTCTTAAAACCTCTTCATGATAATCCCCTGTGATAGCTGTGTGGGAAAATCAATCAAGACCACCTCTTTGAATCCCTAAAACAGTCACCGTAACCTTCTGAGCTGATCACTCTGCTTTGAATTTAACTAGTCCAGCAGATTCTCTCAGAAGACAGTTTTGATTGGACTTTTTTTTTTTAAGGCATTCTAATGAGACTAAGTGGAGTCCTGGCGTGACACTATGGGTTAATGTGCTTGACTGCAAAGCTGTCTGAACTGCAAGGTCGGCGGTTCAAGCTCACCAGCTGCTCCTCCGAAACTCTTACAGGGTCGCTATGGGTCGGAACCTACTTGACAGCACTTAACAACAACAACGAGAGTATGTCAAGTGTTATTACTGAGAAGACTGGTCTACAGCTATATATGAATTGTAGAGACATATTTAAACACCATTTCTTTAGAATAAACCCATCTATGTATGAACTAGAACCCTAGAAGAGATACTTTTGGAATATACTTATCACTATCTATGGGATAAATTTCTACCAATGGAACTTATGGGTCAAATGGCTATTAATTTGATAACCAGAAAGGTTGTACCAAGTCACATATCAGTCATATGACTATTTCCCCACACCCTGTTGACATGTTATCAAACAAGAAAAAAAAACAAAAAAAAAACCTCCAAATCTCCTAATGAAAAATCTATGACTCATATGTTGTTTTGATCTGCACAACTTTAATTATGAATGAAACTGATACAGCCAGAATGCTCCTTAGAAGTCAGGATGGTGAAAATGTTTTCTCATGTTGGACATGTTATCAGGAGGGACCAGTCCCTGATGAAGGACATCTTGCTTGGTAAAGTGGAGGGTCAGTGGAAAAGAGCTAGACCTCCAAGCAGCTGGACTGACAAAGTGGCAGCAGCAATGGACTCAAATGTAACAAGACTGTGAGGATGGCACAGGACTGGGCAGTGTTTTGTTTTGTTGTGCATGAAGTAGTTATGGGTTCAAACCGACTCAACTGCACCTAACAACAACAATGCCTTTGCCCTTAACTTTGGATGAATGTGGTATTTTTATATATCCCTTAGTAACATGTAAAGCCCAAACCTCTCCTTTAGGTTTTCCTGCTATACAGGCAATATTTATAAACTCACATGCAGTTGTGGCCTATATTATAAGTATAATTGCTGTTTCAATTGCTTAAAAGACTTCTATATAAGTAATTAACTTACTTTTAAAACTATATAACACTATAATTTTTCAAGTGAGTAAAAGTTTGGGCTGTAGGGGATTTCAAAGATGATAATCTAAAAAGTAAGAAAAATTATCCTAAGTGCTAGAAACTAGGGAATAGTGCTATCCACATATAATAAACTTTGAAGAAACTGGATGTGGTGACTAATAAAAGAGATACAATGTCCCTGTTCTACGTAGCAGCAATGCTAGCAGAGGGTTATTACCATTCCTACATTTGGAGTATCCAGAACTAAAAGACAGGGTGGACCATCAGACAGGTTCTGCAGATTGGCAAGATTTGGAGGTAGCTGCATTAGGTTGCACAATGCCTCACCAGAAGAAAAAAAATATATTGATATGAGAGAGTAGGGCTCAGTATCAGCAGGAAGGAAGCAAAGGCACAGTCACCATTTGCCACCCAGGCCAAAGAGATAAAAAATTTCACCAACAGAGAAAAGTACATAGAGACTATGCTCTCTTTTTGGGTGTGCCTTATGGAGTCCTGGTGTAGCGCTGTGCGTTAATACTCTGGACTGCAAAGTTGTTTGAACTGAAAGGTCGGTGGTTCAAGCTCACAAGCTGTTCTTTGGAAACCCTACACAGGGTTGCTATGGGTCGGAACCAACTCGACGGCACTTGACAACAACAAATAACAAGGCCTAGGCTTCATCCCACTCAAGCTACCCTGGGTAACAATTGGTTCAGCATGTCCTCTAGCATAAGAGCTATGGGTTGGTTCTAACAGTATTCAGGTAGACAACAAGGGTCCCACCACAATGAGGAAACATTTTCAGACTTAAATAGAAGGAAGATGAAATAAGAAAGCAGAATGATATGCGGAATTGAGACTGTAGAAAATGGAATCACTGATGCAGAAGGCATTTTGAGGAACTTCTAAGAGAACACAGGAAAATATGAAATGGTGAGAGGAAAGAACAGGAGACTAGAGATAGAATTCTGATGTATGGTTAAATTAGTGTTCTTGAGAGAAAGAACAAAATGAATGGAGTAGATATAATAAAAATTTCCAGAGTAGAAAATCTTGAGTAGATTATTCAGAAGACTGCTGTCTTTGTAAAACCCAAAACACCCAAACCTACGGCCATCAAATTATGTCTTATAGCAAACCTTTAGCACAGAGTAGAACTGCACCTTAGGGTTTCTACTACCTAACCCATAGTGCCACTATGGCTCCTTACTTGATTTGTAGTATTGTTCAGATCCTGTTTCCTTATTGATCTTTTGTCTAGACATAAAATTTTCATCACTGGTTTGTAATTGATTTGATTATGTGTTGTGTCTTGGTTTAATTTTCTTCATGTTTCTTGTGCTTAGGGTTTGTTGAGCTTGTGTTTATGGTTTTCATCATATTTGGAAAGTTTTTGGCTGTTATTTCTTGAAATAGTTTTCTATTTCTCCCATCTCAGAGACTC